AGGCTTCGAGTAGCAGGGAGATGGGTGAAGTCTTGTTTTTGCACCTGTCCAATAAGCAGCGCTAGTTTAAGCTCAAATACTTTGATGTGGGAATACATGTCAGATTAGTTTTCCCTTAAGGCTTCGAGTAGCAGGGAGATGGGTGAAGTCTTGTTTTTGCACCTGTCCAATAAGCAGCGCTAGTTTAAGCTCAAATACTTTGATGTGGGAATACATGTCAGATTAGTTTTCCCTTGCCTTGGAGCTGCAAGTTGAGGCCGTTTAAAATTTCTGACACATCTGTTAATAAAGGCGAGGTCCCATTTCCATTCTGTGTCGATCAGCTCTGGGACAGTTTTTCCCTTTGTCAGGAGAAAGGCATTGATTTCGGGTAGCAGGTCGTAAAAACGCTTCAAAACTCTGCCCTGGCTTAACCAGCGGACTTCAGTGTGGTAAAACACGTCTCCGTGGGCTGATTCTAGCTCGGAGAGAAAGGCTTGGAACTGCCTGTGTTTAAGTCCGTTTGCTCTGATGAAGTTTATGCAGGACACAACCACCTTCATGACAGATTCCCACCTCAGAACTTTGCAGCTTGACGCTGGCTCGGTCACGATCAAAGTCACGTCAGAATATACCATTGTGTGAGGAGGTGAAGATGAGCCACTATTAACTATAAATAGCTCATAACTATGGTCAATTTTAATTAGAATGCCAACCTTTAAGTACGGATATGTTATGATGTTATGATAGGAAAAAGGCAATTTAATAAAAATTGGTTGATGTTTAGAGGGATTGTCTGGGATCGTTAAGTGGGCCACTCCAATTGCTTTGGCGGGCCGGATGTTGCCCGCAGGCCATAGTTTGGGGACCCCTGCCGTATACCATACACATACCAAGTTTTTTTTTAAATAATATGTGTTATTTTCCTATAGCTTTTATGATAATGAGCAAATCTGTTCATCATATCTCAAAGAAATTATCATTTGAACTATTAAATGCATCCATCTCCCTGTGTGTCGGGTTTCTTTACACTGAGAGTGATCCTGAGCTTCAGACATGGCTTGCATTACATTCTCCCTTGTGTAAATAATGCATCCTTTCAGCCACTTTTCCACTTGTGCCATGTTTCATGTAATCTAATTTCAGTTTATTTAGTTTCATTTCATTTCATTGAATTGTGTTTTCTGGCCCAGACACAAAATCATTTGATTACATTTCCACTTTAAATCTTCACGGCAGGGATGCATTAGTTACACATATAAACCAATTGCTTGCACACATCACAGTCTAGCCTGTATGTTGATAATGTAGTGACTATAGATTTCTTATTGTTTAGCATTCAATGAACTTCAATCTAGATTTCTTTTGTGACACCAGTATGCCTCTTGTATTTTCCAGGTCACGTAACCTGATCAGTAATCCCAGACTGGTTCTAATTCTGTTTATGTAGGGGGGACAAGAAGGTAAAAGTCAAATTATACTATGTCCCAGCACTAGATGTCAGGCAAGCACTCCAATTTCTATTTCGACTGGATTCCACTTTTTTATTTTTAAATATTAACCGCATGTATTGCAAATAAAGGCTAGTAATTGGCTATAGAAAAAATAAAAATATACAGCACCCTCTGGAAACTACGCCTTTAATACTGTGGGGTGGTTATTTGTGCCCAGAGGGTTTGTTATTGTTGTTATCGTGATATTGGTGCAGGTGGCGCTGCGCAGCCGGTGCAACCAGATCCGGTGGCAGAGATTTGGGATATGGAGTGTGAGCTGTGGAGCCGACCGGGACATGTCTGAGTAGAAAGCTGCGTCATTTTCCAACACGTACAGCTTTAAATCTCCGTATTGAAGATGGGGCAGTGCGGCATCACGTCCTCGAAGACGGTCCTGGTCTTTCTGAACCTGATATTCTGGGTAAGTTTGGAGGTTCCTGACAGTTTTAAACGTGCGTCACAGCAGCAGCAGCAGCAGCAGCAGCTAGCTATGTCATCAGTCAGCTGCTAGGCTAGCTGAGGCAGCCGACCTTTGTTTAACCAGGGAGGGATTAGTTTGACAGCGCAGCACTTCAGTGATATGTGAGTTATTGAGTCAAATGATCACCCACTAACAACTCCATAAATGAAGCAACTGTGATCGGCGAGAGGAAATGACAGTGTTGCTCGCTAAAGTCAAACTATCACTTTTTTTGACATCCCAGTGGGGAGTAGGTTAAACCTAATCTGCCAAGCAGCAGAAGGAGAACATGAATCAGCAATACATGTTAATAATTGCACAGAAATACCAGCTACGCTAACCTAATTCAAAATTCATTTTAATTTGAAGATATGCATCATCTTGTTTTCAAGGAGGTACTCAGATACACACACACACACACACACACACACACACACACACACACACACACACACACACACACAAACAGGAAAATTATCAGTGTATAATTATCATTATACAAAACAAAACCCAGACACCCACAGGCACTGCATTTCTGTTACAGGTGTCATTTGTACAAAACTAACAATAAATAAATGATACATTAACACTGCAAAACAAAGTAAATACAACCAAAAACAGGAACAAATACATTTGAAGGAAACAAGAAAAGATGACTTGCAGTCTTGACAGGAAGTGATAGATCAGAGTGAGTTAGCCAAGTTATTACAGTCTAATGGTGCTTTAAATTTTAAATTAGGACACTTCAAGAGAAATCTACAAATATTATTGCAAAATACATTTAAAGGATGAACATGCGTTTCTCTTGACTTCTCTTATGACATGGCCATAATCAATAATTGGATGTAAAAGCGGGTAGGCAGTTTGCAGTCTTAACTGGAGAGTAAAGCAATGAATTGACTGATATAGTTTTGTCATTTATTTATATTTATAATGAAATAAGTTGTTTATGTTGTTTTGGTAAAATGCCCATAGGTCATTCTGTCAGTGGAGATCAGGTATTCAATAAGAAGTGGTGGATTAAGTATTTAGTTGCTTTACTTTCTTATAAATCGTGCATTTAAATTTTTTACCTCAGTAAAAATACAGAATGTATATATGCATTCATGTATGTATGTATGTATGTATGTATGTATGTATGTATATGTATGTGTATATATATATATATGTTCAGCAAAGTGTATTTAAAGTATTAAATACATCTATGTATGTGTGCTGCTAGTATATGTAGTGGATTACTGGATTATTATAGATGATGCACACATAATGACTACTACACATTCTGTAGTAGTATAATCTACAACAGTGCCTCATATTCTCTTAGTTAATCCTGTGTGGGTTGGAGTGACTTGGCCCTGGAGAAGTTTTATATCTAAAAACTTAATCTACAAAGTTACTATAGCTGTTAAATGAATGTAGTGGAGCAAAAATTACAGTATTTTTCTCTGAAATGGTAACAAGTGTAAGTTTAAAGCATATTATGATGGAAATATTCAAAGTAAAGAACAAATACCACAAGCGTGTGTTATGTACTTTCCACCACTGAGGATAAGTCGACACTGATGATATAATGTATGCAGCTGTTTTTTAAGGTGCTATCAGGTGATTTCCCTTTCCTGGCTGAGTTGAATGAAATGTTGGTGTATCTTTTCACCCACAGGCCGCTGCCGGTATCCTGTGCTACGTTGGAGCCTATGTCTTCATTACATATGATGACTACGACCACTTCTTTGAAGATGTGTATACTCTTATCCCAGCAGTGATAATCATTGCAGTTGGAGCCCTCCTTTTCATTATTGGGCTCATTGGATGCTGTGCTACAGTGAGAGAGAGCTACTGTGGACTTACGACGGTCAGTAAACCTGTTTTGCAAGTTTAGCTTGAAAGAGAAAAGAAGCATTCATGCTTTGTTACACCTTTGTGTGAGTCAAATTAAATATGAACTTTGAGACATTTCAAAATGCAAAGTGGGGCTTCAGGATACATTAGAACAAGGTATAAATATTTTAAACTTGACTTGTCAAGATTACTTTATGTCATTTATCACATTTCACTGAGCACAAAACAGCGAGGCATGAATTAATGCTGTGGGTGTGAAGCATATCACTTGAGCATAGTGGCAAACAATCCTATTTTTACATCTGTGCATGTTTGTTTTCTCAAGTGTCTGTAGTCTGCATATCATTGAAAATATCTTTCTATATCTCTATATCCGCAATTCAATCCACAGTTTGTGATCATTCTCCTGCTGGTTTTCCTGACCGAAGTGGCCGTTGTGGTTCTCGGATACATTTACAGAGCAAAGGTGAGAAAATCAAATACATGTCAGAATGTCTTTATTTTTTTTTGTTGGCCTTGTTTAATTCTTGTAACACAGCTGATCTTTCTGATAATACTGACCAGCAAGAGAAGGAACCATCTGTCAGCCATAGGTAACCTAATCTTGTAACCTCTGCTTGTGTTTTCCATCTGTAAATCTGGTTTGTACTATTTAAGGCGATGTGAAATATGTTGTCTCACCCCTCTTGACTGTTTACAGGTTGAAAATGAAGTTAATAGTTCTATCAAGAAAGTGTATGATGAGTACAACGGCACCAACAGCAACGCCCAGAGCCGTGCCATCGACTACGTTCAGAGACAGGTGAGGACAGAAATCCAGTCTGCTTTATCACCAGTAATATGGAGCTGTTTTACCTGCATGTCCGTTAGAATTGATGCAAGTAGTTGACAGTAATTTTGATTTTGTTAATTTTGTTATTGTTCTCTTTTTCACAGCTTCAGTGTTGTGGGATCCATAATTACTCAGACTGGCAGTATACACACTGGTATGAAGAATCCAAAAATAACAGCGTACCCATCAGCTGCTGCAAAACTAACACTGGAAGCTGCACAGGGTCCCTAACTCATCCTGAAGATCTCTACCAAGAAGTAAAATTATTTTTAGATTTATCAAGTTTTCATACTAAAGACAACCTACTTTTTAAAGCGGGGTGATTTCTCTTTCTTTGATATGTTTGAACATAATCTGTGTGTGTGTAGGGCTGTGAGGCTCTGGTTGTGAAGAAATTGAAGGAAATCATGATGTACGTCATCTGGACAGCTCTGACTTTTGCTGCCATCCAGGTATTTAACTTTTATTGAGATACCAAGTTGCATATATCATCACCAGCCTTCAATATAATACATGTTCTGTTTTTTTTTCTTTAAAGTTGTGTTTTAATAGCAATATATTTTTGTGCTGTCAAAAGTATTTTAAAATCTTGTTACTTACATTATTTTTCTAAATGCCCAGGAAGATCAATACCACTCTCTTGCTTGTCTGGTAAATATAAGGCTACATCCAGCAGCTGGTTAGCTTATCTTAGCATAAAGACTGGAAACAGATTTACAGCTAGCCTGATTCTGTCCAAAATCAACAAACCACTTAACCCTGGTTGCCTGACAACCTCATGGTGGTGACAAGAAATCAGGAACTTGCGAATGTCGAGTGACGATTAGACCTGCGTACGTAACCCTGGTAAACCACAACTTGTGTTTTTTTATACTTCAGTTTTTGCATGGATTAAACAACCAGATATAACATGTCAGTTAGAGAGCTGTAGAGGTGCTGGGTGGCAGATTTTCATGACCTATGGACAGAGCCAGGCCAGCTGTTTTCCCCCTGTCTTTGTGCTCAGCTAAGCTAACCATTACTGGCTCAACCTGCATATTTACCACACAGACATGAGACATTTTCTTATTTTACTCTCATAACCAAAGTAAATAAGCATATTACCCAAAAAAAAAAAAAAAACACTAATAAGGCTTTTGTCTCTTTCTCCTAGATGCTGGGGATGCTGTGTGCATGTGTGGTGTTGTGCCGCAGAAGCAGAGATCCTGCGTACGAGCTTCTTATAACAGGGGGCACCTATGCATAAAGGAAAACACTTTTCTTTCCATAACACACACTTTCAGGATTTACATGTGTCACTGAGGAGAGCATGAAAATAATCTAAAAAAAACCACACTAACCTTACCACGCTAACTACACTAAAGGTATATATCTTACCCAGTTTTCAAAAAAGAAAAAAAAAAAGCTTATGACCAAATTCTTTAATGGTCAATGAGAATGTAGAAGTCATCCTGTTGCTCTGAGGATTTCATGAGGGTGTTAGACCTCATTCTTACCAAACTTAAACTCTGTAATTCATGTATGGAGTAAAATGTGGATAGGGTCATTTCCTCTTGTTAGTTTGCACTATGTGTATGGCTTTCAAATATTTTCTATTTAAATTTGTCATGTACTTGAATGAAAGAGTGTAAAATTTCACCCTGTACCTCCACTACTATTACTACTGCTACTACCTATACTACTACTACTGCTACTACTGCTATTACAGATCAGTTTTGTTTAAAACCTCAATTTTTACCAGCAGTATTCTGTCAAGAAATAGACACCACAGCCCAAGTCGGTGGCATGGCAGGTTTTTGTGCGTGAATCATGAAACTTGATGGGCTTTGGCTTCGCTGATCCTTCTTTTAAGAATAAAACCTTGTAATCCCCTTTAGTATGTGGGCTATTTCATGTAGGAATATTGGACACAAGATAGACTTTGTCCTGTAGCTGTTTTGTTTGTCTTTGTCTCAGTCTACTGATGGCATTTTTAGAATTTGATTTGCTGATTATCTAGGAACATAAAGACTCAAGAATGTAAATAAAATGTGAGGTGAAAGTTTGAAGACAGTTTTCAGATTTTATTGTTTCATATAAATTTCACATCTTTACAAAGACTTTTTTTTTTTTTTTTTTACCCATTCTGATATAACCCATTTTCAATGGCTGGTCTCGCTGGAAGATCAAGTCATCTTGGTCCCAAAAAACAAAAGTCATGAGGAAGGATTGCAAGGGGCTTTACGTATTCAGTCAGATGGTTTGGCCTGTGTCTATTATATGTTTTATGCTTTGATGCTTTAGGTCTTCGGACTAGCTTGTAGGTCAAGACCGGCTAAAAATGTGTGTAACGCATATATATTAGCTATTACTGGAATCATTAGACCTAGTTGTATCTGTCTCTAGAAAACTGTTGTGTACCTTCATATACACTTAAAATGGTGGTAAAATGACTCCACTTTGGCCACTTGAAAGACACCGTGTTAGCTGTGCATCACCCGCTGCAGAGTAACCAGATACCAGAGAGCAGGCTGCTCAGCCACATGATCCAAGAATAGTACTAGGGTGCATTTCAAATACTGTGTTTGGATTGTTCTGGTCTGGTCTTATAATCCACATTAAGAATAGTCTTTGCTACAGTAAATGGGCCATAAGAGAGGAAAATTATGTTTTTCTCAATTAGGGGAGAATAAAAACAATGTTGACTGATGTTGAATGAAAACTTAAACCTGTCATACTCAATAAATACAAATACATGCTCATGCATTCAGCATTCAGAATAGAAACAATAACTACAAATAGAAATTATATACAAGCCAAGAATAGAAATCAAACATTCTGCCCAACACTTAGGACTTCAAATATAAAAGAATTTAATTCACAATATATGAATAAACTTAGTGCAGTGACCTTGTGCAACAGATCAGTATATCTCCCAGCTGTCATTGGTATGAGGAGCATTCAACACACCAGCAGTGAGGGCAGAGTAATATGAATATGTGCCATAGCAATAAATAATCCAACAGTTCAACAGCTACTGTGTCTTTAAACTCCTATGATTATGATTTTCTCTGGTAACAGAAACTTTAAATTATTATGACTGAAAAGGTTTTTGTTTGTAAAAACAAAAAAGTTTGTTGCTGTCAGAATTTCATTCTGCACTAATCTCCTCTACAGTGTCTTTTATATTGCCACCAATAAGTGGTGCCAAATTTTGACATTTTTAAATCTTACACATGGGAGTTTTAATGATGAACACAAATATGAACATACAGAAAAAAGATAATATATAAGGTCTGCCTTTACAACATATTACATGAGGAAATGTAGTAGTCTTAAAGTCCAACATATGACTGTCAGATGAACTCATTCTTTGGCAAGGTATGAACCAGGGACCAGTCCCGTAAGGCCATTTCTTTGCACCAACCACCAACCGTCATCACCTTGGTCTTTGACGACCACAACGTCCCCAGCGGATACAGAGAGCTCATCGTCCCCCTGAACCAAGACAGAAACCATCAGTCAACAGATCGATCTTAAATAGAAGAACAATTAGAACATGTGAACATGTGTCTCGTGCAGAGAGTTAGACGTCAGAGCGAAGAAGCTGACCTGTGCCACATAGTCATACAGGGCCTTATACTCCTCACTGCTCGGCTGGGACGCCTGAAATCCAGGAATGGAAGCATATACCCCCTCTGATGTTTCTGCTGTGGAGTTTTGACAGGATTGCAGACATAATCAGCATTGGGTCAGCTATCGTGTGGAGCCACTCATAACTTGCAACTTTCTTACCGAACCAGCGACTAAGCTGACTGTACATCTTAATAGGTTTTAATTTCGATGTTATTTAACACAAATAATTATATAAAAGTGCACGTTGTTGCACTATAAGATGTGTTGTCAATGTGTAGGTTTGCTTTCACTCTTTTTTTCGGTAGGTTTGATCAAGTCAAGTTTGCATTTCACAACCTGAAAGGGCAGAAACTGGACTTTCAAACCACTTATCTGTTCATTTTAGTTATTAATTTCAACATCTCTGCTTGCTTACTTGTTTTGAGAATTTTCACTTCTTCACATCAGGTTCTTCATGTCTCTACATTTCAGTCTAGTTGACAGTGGAGACAATAAATATACTGTATTTTGCCTCACACCAATTTGTAATCTTTCTTGCGTTTATACTTAAATGTTTTTACAAATCATGACTTAAAGATTAGTAGTACAAGTGTGCCTGATTGGGAATAATTGGTGTACTAACTACAGTGTGTAACTTGTTGCTCCTCATCCTGTGTTACAAGAATGAAGTGGCTGTCACAGTTTTATCAGTCGTCATTTTGGAAATTGCAGTGATACATGAATAGCTTTTATACATACCAGTGGGTTGTGCAACAGGCTCAATGATGCTCGTTTTGGACCCGGTGGAACCGTTTCCCTGCAGAAGATTTGAAAACCTACAAATAAATATTGAGAGGAGAAAAAAAAAAAAAATCATGCAAAAATCTCTGCCATCATCGTTCATCATTGTCATTGTCATTCATTTGGTGAAAGAGTGCTTTCCATTGTGTAATTCTGACCTTTTCATGACGCCTACGAAACCAGCACTGCCATTTCTGTCAGTTGCAGCTTCCCTGTTGTAGTAATTTTGGTATTCAATTGGAGCTGTAAATATTTGAAAAAAAAACATGGTTGTTCCAGGTCTTACACACAATGCATCACCTGTTTCCCTGTGTCAAGCATTCTGTTTTTGCAGCAGTTGAGAGATAATATTAAAATTTCAGACTTAGAACATATTCAAATCGAAATCAGGAAGGCTGCGGGGCGGGTGCGTACCTGGGGGGGTTGAGCCAGTGCGTTTCATGTCCACAAAGCAGTTGTTGTCTGTGATGATGTCACAGTTTTCCAGTGTTTTCCTCACATCCTCGTAACACTGAAAGAGCATTTTGGATGAAATTCAGTTATACAGTACAGTGTATTTGAACGCTTCGCTGAGGGTCTGTCCCATACAGGTGTGTAACAGCAGCTGCACCCACCTCATCATCTTTCACACACTGCATTGATAACTGGTTACAGTGCTCCCACAAAGCATTCCGTAGTATGTTGATGCGGTCTTCTTCCTGCTGCTGAAACATCTGCACAACAACAGTGTGAGTGGAAAAAATGTAAATCATCTAGAAAACACTGAGGCTTGGGAGATTCACGGCACAGTACACATCTGAAATGATACAACCGGCAAGTTCTTCCACCATGGCCTTTTATGTCTCTGCCATCTGTCAACTTGAAGGTTCAGAGCTGTCATTTGAATGCTTTTTAATGCTTCATAGCTGCAACCTACAATTGACCTCAAAGGGCTGAATAAAGTTAAAGTTAAATGGTCTCCTCAGCTTTCTTGATGATATCACATGTAGAAAGACTTAGTTGCTCCGGAAACATTTTTTGTAAATTAGTGACTCACTTCATATTCTGCTCATAGGAAGTATTACACATCCTTGCCGATTAAACAGACCTTGAGTACTTCCACTCTTGGTTTAAGTCTGTACATTTTAAGGTGTATTAAGCGACAGTGTAGTAAGAGGAAAAATACAGTTTCCAATGACATACTCTACCTCACATGTGCTGATGTGTGTTGATTCCCATTCTTGACGGATCTTGTCAAGTTGTTCAGTGTTTGATATGTATTGTTTCTCTAAAGATAAATGAAAACATTAATTATGAAAAAGAGAAGGTAAACCACACAGTTTTGCATTTAATATTCTATTTATGTCACAGTCACAGTATATTTAACCCTTATCAAATCCTATTTCTTCCTCAGCGCATAAGGGAAGTTAATGTGACCACCACTAATAAAACTGGTTTTGGTAAACCACCTTCCTACATGAAACAAATGTCTTCAGTGCCAGTCTCACTGTTTGGTTCTTACCAGCCTCCTCTGCAGCTTCTCTGCACTGTTTAGACTTGTTGTTCATCTGAAAAAGAAAAGAAATTGTAAATGACAAGTTGTCTTTATATCTGTAACCACTGTGTATCCTGGAGAAATGGTATATTAGTTTATTGACATAATCTATGTAAATCCCATTTAAAATCAAGACAGAAACTGTGAAGTAAACTCACAATGTATAAATGACTAAACTAATGGCCAAGAGAAATGCATTTCCCAATCTTGGTTACTGTTGTGGAGTAACTGGAATAACTGCCAGTGTTGTTTGAGAAACTATCCCTCCGGTTGCTACAACAGTGATTCATTCTAAATATTCATTCATGTTAATGCTATAATATACTGCCGTTTAATGTTGGCACTTAATAATAGCATGTATTGATAATGAGGTGCCCAGTATTCTCTCAAATGTTAACCAGGGACAGTTACAACAGACAAAAAGAATTCATAGTATATAGACTGTTATAATGTCTATAATGTTGTTACAATTTCTTATTTCTCTTGTTTTGAACATTTAAACTATTCAGGTTAAAATGTTTAACTACGCTATTAAGCGTAGTTAAATTGTTACAATGGTTAAAAATAAGAGACTTGGTCTGTGTATAAAAACCACAATGAGCATATTTGCTTATTGATGCTTCACTCGGGTGTTTGCTCTTCACTGTGCATATTGATGTGTGAGCAGCGTTTGACATTAGCATTTGAAGGCTGTTTTCCCATTCATCTGTTGAAGTGAGAAAGTTTAACTGCAACTTAAATCTGAAGACGTGCACCTACAAGCAAGATGTGGAAACTTGAAACCTCTCCCCTGCGTACACTGACAATGGACTGTTCATTGAAGAGTGAGACATGTTGTGTTCAGCAGTTAAACATTTGAAAGCCACAAAGTTTGTATATTCATAGGCTGTGGATTTTAGGTGTGATTTTAAAAATTTTAAACTCCTACATTTTTGTGGAATAACCACATCAGACACAAATTATTAGCCAAAGCAGAGTAGTCTATATATCTGTATGTATATGTCTTAAAACACATCTGGAGTTGGCCTTATTTGTAAAATAAAAACCAATAACGTGAAGGCTGAGCACCGAGAAAAGGGTGCTGATGCAGTCATAATAATTAGATGAAAACTGGGGGACAACACTCCTCTAGTTAGAAAGTCAAAGGGGGGGGTTTATTGTTGAAGTGACATCATTGCACTGAGTCATACACACAGATTTACCTTCTCAATCTGTTTGGGAGTGGCTGTGGGAGTGTTGCCCATCTTCTCAGCCGTCTGCTCGGCCTCGTCTGCCTCCCTGCAGCGCTGCTCATAAGATTTCTTAGACTGGGTTGGAAACAGGATGGAAACCATGTGAAACTGTAACACCCAAGCTTTGTTCATCAGCAGTTGGCTCTATGAACCCTTAACAGGAAGGGGGTGGGGGGGGGCAGGGTTTGGGGAGTTTTGGGAGGGGGTGGGGGTGGATGGGGGACTTCCTTCTTCTGAGCAGAGAGAAGAATTGCATCTGGCTCTTTAAATGTGCCGATCACACGTAGCTTGCAAAACTTCCTCTTACACATCTTAAATATACAGAGCAATGCTTCTCTACTGTGTCTCGCACACACACACACACACACACACACACACACACACACACACACACACACACACACACACACACACACACACACACACACACACACACACACCTTATGTTTGCACTTCACTTGTACTTGTCTTGCACAAACAAGCAGGATGTACCTGTACTAAAATTGTCATGCTGTTAACCACTGCCATGATTATATAAGTAACATAAAGACATTTGCTGAGACTGAAGTGGCTCTATGAAAAACTTTTAGCAAGGGCTTCCAGGTGTAATCATACAGATCATCATTTAATTCCATTATTTGTTTTGTTTTTTAATCACTTAAATGTACACTTCCAACACCACATTTTCTACAAAATATGAGCCACAATCTGAAACAATATAATACACATTCCATAACTGAAAAGGAGCAGAGAGGAGAAACCCATACATATCATGATTATATGAATTGACCTTACTTCTATTGTTTTCTTGTAGAGGGAGACTTTAGTTTTCTGGACTTTCTCCATGATGACTTCAAACTAAACAGTGAAGGACAAAATAATGTGACAAAGAAAAATAGTCCTCATCATAATCAGAAAACCATACTGAAACAAGTTTCCCGATTTAGATTTCCTTCCTATGCAAATGATGTACCTTTTTTCTCTGCTCTTTCTGTCGATCTCTGAACTGCTCCATTCGCTTTACCTCCTCCTTCAGGAGTCCGGAAAGCTGAATGTGCAAGTTTCCTATGTTCTCAATTTCTGGAAAACACCAAAACATGCAACTAAAAATTCTGAACTGAGAGGGGCATGCATGGATACCTAAAAAATAATCTAATAAACTAATACAGGAAACATATCCTGTCCTTACGTGCTTTCATTTCGTCAAAAGATGCCCTCAAAGTGCTGTGAAAACAAAACAAAAACAGTATATTCTTAGGTGAGTACATTAATACTCAAATGCAAACCATCCACCTGCACACACACACATGCACACACACACGCACGCACACACCTACCTGATCTCATATAAACCTCCAGCCTTGCGCGCAATAGTGACCAGGTCCTTGCCATATTTCTCTTCTGCTGATGCCCTATATACGTGAAAAAAAAAACCACAAAAAAGATGAACCACATTTCAGTGAGGTCACTTTCTGCATTCAAGTGCAATTCACCAGAAATTTGCGAGCCCACCTCATTTTCAAGAGCTCTTCCATTTCTTTGCATGTCCGTCGGCCATCATTAAGTCTCTGAATAATGGTCTCGTACCCAACATTGCTGATGAAGTCCACTCCCTAGGACCACAAATATCAAACCATAATACTCATACTTTCAGTGATAAGTGAAAATGTTCACAGCGAATCTTGCACAATGTAAAATTTTGGAATAAAAGTCTAAATAAAAGATGTTAATCCAAAAATGTTTGTACACTGGAAAGAAAACGCCACTGCTTCTTTATTGCTCGATATATTAAAGACCCAAATGATCACCTTTGGGCAACAGCTGATGATTTAAACGACACAAACAATACGACGGTATGAACAGGTTTACTTGGATGACTGTGCCTCTTCTCAGAGTGATATTTTTTCCATGTAGTGGTATTGTGGTATCTCATCTAGAATGGAAATTGTTACATGATGTTGCTAGGGTCTGAATGGAAAGCTACCAAGTGGGAAAAGTACCAAAAGATCCAACTCATGTAGTAGTGATACTTTGCTGAAAATTGACTACTGTGGAAATAAAGTTACTTGTGTAAAAAATTTCTCATGTTCATTTGTAATATTACTGATTTACATTTTACACTGGATTCCTTATAGCAGGATGAGAACTAAGAGGAAAAAGGAAGCACACAACCTCAATAGTAAACTAAAGCTACGGTAGAGTTCAACTCATTGTTCTTTCTGACCAGCCAGTTCCTGGTGCTTAGCTTATGGTTACACTATACAATTTGTACTGCGTTGGTATGTGGTTACATTGACATTTTAAGTTTTGGTCTGTCACACATATGTGTTAAAAGGTGCTCTGTACAAATATTAAAAGTCAGGGCTGAGATTAGTCTGAATCACAGGAACGCCCCAATAATGATAAAGATCACACTTTTACCACCATAACGTCACTGTAGACACTATTCAAAAAAAAGTTGAACTGAGAAAGAATTCTTTAGTTTGCGTGATACACATGGTTTTAGATAGAAAAATGGAGAACATGTGCACAACCCAGATAAAAACAGTGTTTTTGCTTCTCTCACTACACAGAAAAACAATTCAGTGAGCTTTAAAGTGAGAAAAAGCAAAGGAAAAAAAGGCAAAGAAGTCTTAAGACAGGACAAAGTGTTTAGCTAACTGAGGTCTCACACAATTAAACTGGAATATGATACAGGAAATACTGTCCAGACGAAATAAAAAAGCATAATAAATACAGTAGAAATGGAAAAGCACATAAAACTTTATACTTCAAAAACACCAGTGAACATACTGAATACAACAATGACTTGACAGCTCAGTAAAAAACTCACCTTCAAGCTGCAGCTCTAAACAGTACAAAACATGTAGGGATTAGTAGCATCGCACTAACTCACCCAAAAGGCATCTTTAAATTCTAATGACATCTTGGCGGTGGTTAAAAAAAGGTCCCTGTTGAAGAATCCACTCAACCTTAATTCACTTTACAACGCTCCGCAGTTTAACAAGCTGTTGCTCGATGCAAGTGAAAATATGTCATGACACATTCAGGAAACCAGCCTTCAAACAGCAGCACTCACTCACTCAAAAACTCATTTGATTTAAATGAGGAAGAGCTGCAACATGTCAGCCGTTACCACAGCTGGACTGATACTCCTGTCATCTCACTTTTGGCACAAGTGAAGAAACAACTATAATAATGATACACAGCTACAATTCTTCAATTACAGTTCACACACATGTGATCAAAACAAAGTCCAATTAATTTGATAGTAATTAACAGGCCTGTCGGTTTGTTGTTTTTGGAAGAAGTGGTTAAAATTGTACTCTGAGTCACACCTCCCTGCTCTTCAGGAGTATGTGCTACATTCACAGGAGGGGGTAAAATAAGAGGATGGACTTACAATATTATGCAATCCAATATAACATCCCTGCAACACACACTACTTTGTGAAGCTTCTCATATTCATATTTTGCTGACACTCTGGACATTGTGGAATGTGCTGCTTGTGTTGGTGCATGTGTTGCAACATATGTTTCCTGTTATCTTGTCCATATGTCATTTACTATTGCAAATTGATCAAAGGACAGACAAGGTGGCGTTAATCTCATGACGAATGTCAGCGTACAACACAGGAAATCAACTAAATGACATCTACATGGAGACTCAATAAACAAGAACATAAAGTTATAATTCATCATGTGATACATGCAGCTGTCTGCCGTAGTCTGTCACTTCACTGTTCATGAATGTTTCTTGATTTTTCAAAATTTCAGCCTCTGAGAGCTGCCCGTCTCCATTGCTGTCCATTTCCTTGATGAGGTGAAGAGCCTGTTGACGACAGCGGAGCAAAACAAGTAAAAGAAATCAGTAAATCAGAATATGTTGCCATAACATCATGGAAATAAAGGAAATGTAATCATACAAGCCAATAGCTAAAGGAAACCATCCAAATACACAATTTCCATTAAAGATACAGAAATTTATTGTAATGTAACCTGTTATTTAGATCAAATTCAGGTTTACCTCTTCTCTTGCTGAACCGTAGCTATTAGGCGCAACCCAGCGAAGCTGCTCATCTCGATTCAACTTGCCGTCCTTGTCTTGATCATAGAGGTCTTTAAACCGCACTGTTTCTTCAATCTCCCACTGTGAAGGGGAATCCTCTGATAAAGAAGGAAAATAAGGTGTTAATACTGCATGGGTGACAAGAATTGGACATAGCAGAATAAACTTACAAAAAACATATCATTCTGTGTTTTGAAATTATCCCTGTGGTCTTACCATCACCACGGACATCTCCAATAAATTCACTTAGACTGATGAATCCATCTTTATCTGTGTCATATTCACTCAACACATCTTCAATGGCAAAATCCTATCAGAAAAAAAGATGAATCATTAAAGTGTAAAATGAAATAGATATGGTACTCCTGTAATGGGTATAAGAACACATTATCATATCAGGTTTTGCAGGGGCAGGAGCTAATCTTGTCTTACAGCCATGTGATCCACTTCAGATGGGTGGGTGAAGGCAAGAAACTCTGTTACATTAAGGCCGGGTGTGCCGTCCACATCAGCAAAGTCAAAGCGCCTCCTCTCCTTCAGATGGAGCTAAATGGGATAAAAAACCTATGTTAAAGTAATTTTCACATAATTTAAGATGTGACATAATGTGATTATTATCAGAACAATAAAAGTATACCTACGTGTCTGAGAGACTCTTGCTCTGGATCCTCCAGAACTGCGCTGTCATCAAAACTGATGAGCTGGTCATGAGCAACCATATTGTATTCTTCCCATGCTACGACACCATCTTTGTCAGTGTCAAACTCAGCGAACCGCTCATCTGCATCATCCAGAGCATATTTTCTGTAGACATGCTGAATCCATAGAGTGATCTCCTCTGTGGAAAAAAAACAGAGAACGCTGAGTATTTAGTTTAATCATTTCTGTTTATCTTTAGTGTCTTTTCAAATATCAACATACATTTACCTGGGCTTAGTAGATTATCAGCATTTGTATCAATCTTCTTTACAATTTCCATCATCTTTTTCCTCTGTTGTGCTGGGCTAAGTTTCTTGATCTCCTCGGTGTCCTGCAAGTGAATAACATAAGTAGAGCAGAGAGTGAGCAGCTGGTGAATGAAGCATAGAAACTGGGTTTAAGGGTGTTAGAAATTAACTAAAAATATTTAGTGACCTCATCTCCCAGCAGGACATTCATGTCGTGTTCAGGGTTGTGCTGCTGGCCAATAAAATGGTCTTCATGAAGATTCTTATGAGAGCTTTGTCCAAGTCCAAACTGAAGTAACAGCAATACCAACAATGCAGAGGACGCCATCTGTTGAGTGACACAGTTCATTTATGGCAAAAACAACAACAACAACAACAACAAAAGGGAGTTGAAAATACTAGTGTTATTAATTAGCTTCCAGGCTAGTTTGTTTGTTGAAAAGTCAAACGGCCAAGGCAAAACAGAGCGACCTTGTGGCCAGCTGGTGGAAGTTGACTAAGTTAAACTTAAATAACTATGTGAGCATCGATCGTCCTGGATAATGATCAAACCTACTAAATCTACAATAAGGCAAAAGGCCTGGTGATGGCCTGATGCTTTGCGAGTTGTGATTAATTCCTGTTTATACTGAATGTGTTTGAGAGAGAGAGAGAATGAGACAGACATGCAAACGTGAAGGCAAAACCAAAAGCGTTAGCAAAATGATTAGACACAGACAACGCAAACAAGCCAATACTGCAGTGACTGCGACGACGCTTAAAAATAATGTGAATGGAAGAAGTTGTTATTACCGTGGGATGTTCTCCATGCGTTTACTTCACTGTCACCCACGCAAATGGAAAACCGTACTTCCGGTCACAACTTTCAAAATAAACGATCTATCCTCCTGACGTTAAGTCAACAATTTTTGGGAACGAAAACCAGTTGAACTGAGCTCCACAAAGTAAACACAGATGAAGGAAATTCAAACATTTAACTATCTTTACTCAAGTAGGTGGAAAAAAACATAGACACACATTTATAAATAATAAATGGATGACAACAAACACTATCTCTTCAACTACAGTCTTCTACTCCATGTGAGGACGATATAAACTTAAATAATAAAATTCAAAACCAGATTTTGACACACATCCCCTCAGCTGGCAGTTTATTATACACACATAGCTAAAACAAATGCTGTCGAATACAAGAGCCCTACAATAAATTCTGCCTTAATGAAGGTTAAAAAGTTCAGTTTAAAAAACAAACTGTTTAACAGAGGTGCTAATTCAAGTGTTTGCTCATTTTAGAGGATGTAGTCTGTGATGCTGTTAAACTGCATTGAGTATACTAACAGGTATTTGTATTATTTTGTCCACCTTATTACTATAAGTGAGGGAAGGCAAAATAACAGAAACACCTCTCTTGTATAATGCAATACAGTTGAATAGCACCACCAACTACACCTTACAAAATTATCATACAGTTAAATCAGCACCTCTCTAAAACCTTCATAAAGGTAGGATTTATTGCAGGAGTGTACCTAACAAACTGACAACTAAAGTATAGTTTGGTGGTGCAAATAACTTAACACATTTGTAACTGATCAATTTGCCACTGGAGACAAATGAAACTGTGGCTTTTGGGAGTCCTCAGGGAAGTTTCCCACCTTGTGAAGTTGGAAATCCAGCTTTGGTCAAACTGTTATAAAGTGAAGCCTCTACAGAGTTACAATAAGTGGAAGCATTTAACACACTAAAGGGCACTGTAAAGTCTGAAGAACTAGGGGACTATATACATACTAGTGTAATGGGTTCTTATCTCTTCAACTGGAATATTTCCATGCCTGGTCTATCTATTTTCATAGAGGGAGAAAGTTTTGCACCCACTAAGCTTTTATATTGAAAGCAGACTCAGTGTTTGGCCATGTTCCGGCCGGTTGTAAGCGACTTTACTTATACTGAGAAATCAACCAAACGTCCCGCCCGATCGTCATGGTTGCTATGGTAGACGACTAGAAGTCCCGCCCTATGAAAATCTGTTCCACCCCTTGGCCCAAATTGTTGTGTACATGATTGGCTGGCATGTATGTTGTTTCCATTTTACGGTGAAATCATTGTACAACCGTAACGTCAGTCAAAAATGTAAAGTCAACGGACTTCCTGCTTTTGTTAGGTTGTCCTCACTGTCATGTATTTATCTGACATGTTTTTCCATCAACTCTGACAACAAGATAACTTTGTCCGCAGACTCTTATTTTTCACCCACTGAGCGCTGAACATCCGGCGGGTCGATGTCCAAAGACAACCGCCACGATGGACGACGGCGTGGCGCTGGACAGCACCGTCTCGGCCCGAGAGTTAGCCAAGGAGGGGACGGGAGGGAGAGGTCTGGTAGCAACAGCTCCGGCTCCTCGCATGGAGGAGGCAAAAGCAAGAATCCACCCTTAACCGCTTTGAAGGTAAGCAATGAGCCGTTAATTTAGTCGAGAACATTAAAATTCCGATGCAGTCTTAGCTAGCTTGAGCTAACCCACGGGATAATTGAGAGTAGGTTCACCTAGCTAACAGTCCCAGGATGAAAACAGCGTTTTTGGTGACCTTACCTTCTGTAGGTGTGATGTTGTCTGCTCTGGTGGCCTACTCAGATCGTGAAATGTTTCTCCTTTAATCCTCCTCCTCTACTACCATCACATTTATCACCATTTGATATTGTTACCAAGGGATGATAAATGGCTGTATGAGATTTGAGAGAAGATGTTGATGAATCATGGGATTTTTGTGTATAAATGTATTGTCATATAGCCATTAAAGAGTGTGACAAAAGGAGGAGTGGTATGCAGGGTAATATAAGAGGCAAGGCATCCTGCTCTCCCAGATTGTCCCAACTTCTTGCAGAGTTTGTAAGTTTGTACCATGTGCAGGCATTCAAACCATGTGTTTTGTCCCCCAGCAGCCTATGAATCATCCACTGCTGAGTCCAATCTGATCCAGAGCATCACTCTGTGTGGCTAATGCACGGCCAGGCTTGCGTTAGCACACACTGCCTCTGTGCCTGCAGCTAAACTCTCATCATTAGCAACATGGGATAGGGGGCAGAGCGGCAGGCCTGCTGTGTGCACATGACTGCGCAGTGTTGTGGCAGAAGGAGAGTGAGAGATGAGAAACAGAGAGAGTGGGGGCTCTGATGCAGAGCAGGGAGAGCAGAGGAGAGAAGCTGTAAATATAGGGAGCTGCATGCAGTCGAGAGCAGAAATGAGTGGATGGCAGATAGACAGAAGCAGGCAGTGAGGTGGGCCTAAGAAGTGGCTGCTAACTCAGCAGAGAGCTGAAGGCTCAGGCTGGATTACAGACAGAATAGTCAAAGTGAAAGACAGGACTGCCAGGCTACTGACCACTTGTCTTTCTCAGTCGCTCATGGGAGAGGAGTTGACACAGCTGGGCAAGTTGCTATAGCAGTGTGGACTACACAGTGGGAGTCTATTTTGGTCCCACCGTCAGATGACGATGTCACCTTGCACAAGTGGCAGTGTTGGTGAGGGGGAACAGGTTGCCTGAAGTGGGCTGCAAAAGTATGTCAGGGGTGGATAAGGACGAGGAACCTGCTTACAGTCTGTACTTCTATTCTGTATGTATCCTCTATTCTTTTGATTTTCTCTGTGTCTGTCCTAATGAGCTAGGTCTCACTCACTGTCTTGCTACCTACATCTGTTTGTAGACCTTGCCAAAGGGAAACCTTACACTTGCCCCTTACTCAGCACAGTCTAGAAAGTAAGTGCTCTCTGTGGTGCATGGGGAAGGATTGCCTGGCCAGAGAATATCGTAGAAGTTATGCACCACAATGTATGTTATTCTCCTACAGTGCAGTCCAGGAGACAGCTTGTTTGCAGCTGATTAGGTGGCTCAAGAGAATGTTGCTGTAAGCCTTTTTTTTCCTCAGGCTCCTGCACTCAGGTAGCCATCAGTTGTGAGTAGGTAATGTATTGTCACAACACTCATCTGTCATCTAATGGCTGCCAAGCCTAGGAAACACAGAGTAAATATTTACATTCTGTGGACAGGAGATAGTGCATTGACGTTGACCCACCTCAATAGTTCTTACTCATTTTAGCAGGACCTGTGTTGTTTGATGTTGTTTTATCTCTTTGCAGTCTTTTTCTACTTGGCAGAATAAAGCCCAGGCCACTCGACATGTAAAGAATTTTGCTTGTCAAAAGTAGGTCAGCTGGATATCCCCCTTAGGGACATTAAATAGTATCAGACCAATACATGCATGCTGTTCCTACATGTGTAACGCCTAATGAGCCATGTTCACATTATTCTGTTAGCCTTTAAGGATAGTCTGAAAAGACTGTTGTCATTTTTACATAAACGCAGGGCTAATTATCACTTGTTTTCCTCAAAACCTTTGGAAGGATGTAAACTGTATACTTCATCTTTGCAAGTGTGGTAGAGGAATAATTTTGCTGTATTTCTTGTCTGAATAGTGGTGCTAGTGAGAGACAGCCAGGAAAAGAGAGAACGGTTTGTTCCATGACTCATTTGCTATTAACAGGAGAACTGGCTCTCGATTTTTGTGTTGGTTTCAGGTAGCAATATATTTTAAGTCTGAAACCACATCTTGCAGTTGTCTAACCAAAATAGCAAAGTTTGCTCTGGATTTTTGTCAACATGAAATTAAATCATTTATGAACACTACAGAAGTGGTACAGGCCACTCTGCTGGGAGAGAGAACACAGCAAGTGGAAGATCCACAATGATAAGCCTCTAGGTATTAGCTTCTGTGTTGTTGTGTAACCAGATTGCCAGAAGTCAGAATATTTAGTGATGTAAGATTACAAAGCCAAATGATACCAAGCAGACTGTCGGGTACATTGTGTATTTTTGTCTAAGCTATTGCATAGTAAAATTGAGTTGTTATTTCTTATGTTTAGGAGATTGGATTTTGCATTCATGAGCCATTTTACCCAACTGTTATGTGAGAAAATATTTCACCATGAGATGGGGATGCAGAAGGATGCTGATGCCATGTTTCATCACAGGGCATTTTAATTTTGCATCGGTAAAGGCTGTGATGAATGACTTCCACTGCATTTATTTTGGTTCACAGTATCTGCTTCACCCGAGGTTAAAGTCAAGTTCACTGATGCATACTCAATGTGTAGGTCAACCATGATGCATGCTGGGAGCAAAGCGAGTTTAGGGCTTCAGCTTGTAGCTGTTTCTTGTCACAGTTTGTGCTTGTAGACCTCTTGCATACAGTTTACTTAATGCTTGCCGTATTGTAGCCTCAACCCCAATTCACAATCTCACAGCAAGGACTGGCCAAATAATTGAAACAGCATTTTGCAATATGCTCTTTTGTGGAATTTCACAGTGTTACCAAGTATTTCTTTTTTCATGGAGTGGATGGTTTAGATTAGGAATTGGTATTTTTTTAAGTAACTGAGTTGAAAAGATTTGAGTTGCTGTATAGCATAGCATAGGTATATCTTTCCTTTACCACAGACACGTGACAGTCCTGCTCCTTATGCCTGTATTTATGTTTGAATTATGTTTGTTAGATGTACTGTGTGCACTTTGTTGCACACTATTTTATGTCATTGTGTTAAAATGGATGTAACCATAGCAACAGTACTTATGCCTAAGGCTCTGTTACCAGTTAACACTCTAGTAAAACTATTTCGTTTAAAGAATTGTGCTGGTGATATTCTATATTTCTTTTATATTGTCATCAGATCTCATGAAAAGACTAGTGTTTGTTATTCTCTCACAACTGTCCCATGTCCTGACCCTGCATGTGGCACTCAGCCACAAGCCCTTTTGTTCCTATTGAAGACAAAAATCTTTAAAAACAGGTCATCAATA